ATAATTTATGTTTAAACTTCATTGTAAATTTTATGGGAAATGCATCACAGTTATCATAAATTTCTTTCTTTCTTTCTTTCTTTCTTTCTTTCTTTCTTTTTTTTTTTTTTTGCACCAGTGAACAATAAAAATTGCTATTAACAATTTTGGCTGTTTTTCATGCCATCTTGCTTGATAAAGAAACTTACAGAAATCCTGTGGCGTCCAGTTGACTTTCTCATATGTTGACAGAGCTCACTGTTCAGCTGATCACTTGCTGAATAAATAAGGTGCTGTTTATTTTAGTCATTTGTATTCCTCTGCTGTTCCTGAGCCATGATGAATTACCTCAAGCCCCAGAAGGCTCACTGCCCATTTGAGTTACTTGAGTACAACAGGTTATCTTCAAACTTAGTATCATGAAATAATAGATGTTCATCTCAGAGTTCTGTAGATTAGAAATTTAGAAACAGTGTAGATGGTGGTTCTGGTAGCAGTCATGGTTTTGGCCAGGGTCGCTGTCACCTGAAGGGTTATGGACTTCTGTGTAAGCTCACTGACTTGGCTGTTAGCCTGAGGCCTTCGTTCTGCCTGTGGTCCCTTCCGTAGTGTCACACAGCTTGGCCGTGACTTCCTCAGAAAGGGGCAGAGGACAAGAACAAGCCACAGTGTCTCTCATGACATGACCTGGGAGTGGCACCCTGTCATTTCTACCTGAATTCTTTTAGAAGGAAGTTGCTGAAGTCTAACCCATACTCAAGGATAAGGGAATTAAGCACCACAGTTTGGAAGAAGTAGCAGATGATTTACAGATATTTTTAAATGACCACAATTAACACCTCACCATCTGCCTCACATTGTGTTAGTACTTGCTAAGTTTTACAAGAACGTGTTTCCAAAGTTACAAAGTTAGTACCATCAAAATCTGTCAAATAAGCCAAGACTTCCTGTGGCACAGGCTAGTCCAGCAACTTTTTCTGTCTTTGGCAGGTGTTAATTTTCCCTACCAAAATAAGGTTAAGGGTTGTGGCTATTTTACTTCCAGGTTCAGTGAAATGCAACTGGAAAAGAGTAGAAATGTAACTGGGAAACACAAAACTTGGAAACACCTGCATATGAGCTCAGTAGGAGAGGGTTAATTGGGGAAAATGTTTCCGTATAGGGCATACAGTAACTCATTTTCTGGCTTGAGGTACAGGTATCTTTTTAAAATAAGCTTGATTTATTTTGAAACTGTTATGGAGAGGAGGAAACAGATCTTCCACCTGCTGGTTCACTCCCCAGATGGCTAAGAGAGCCAACACTGGGCCAGGCATCTACTGCAGTTCTGTCAGGCTTGGTTTGGTTTGTCTTCCTCTTGGGTACATCCGTTTCCTTGCCTCATGCTGAACAACAGTGAGCTTAACCTGTAGTGCCATATTTAACAGCTCGAGAGTGAGCCAGGGACTCTTGGCTCTTGCCAGTGTGGAATGAGGTAAATAAATATTGTTTGAAGTATTATTTGAAGATTTGTGTATTTGAAAGGCATAGTGATAAGAACAGAGATGGTCCAACTACTAGTTGGTCTCCCAAATGACCATAATAGTAACAGCCAGGCCTGAGAGAGGATAGATATACAGACAGATCTTCCATCTCCTGGTTCACTTCCCAAATGGCTGCAACAGATGGAGTTCAGCTGAACTGAAACCAGGATCCGGGAACTTTTTCTGGGTCTCCTACACAGGTGCAGAGTCCCAAGGTTTTGAACCATCCTCTTCTGCTTTTCCCAGGCCATCTACCAGGAGCTGGATGGGAAGTAAAGTAGCCAGGTATGGGATATCAGCACTTTGAGGTAGAGGTTTACCCTGTTGAGCCATTGTGCTGCCTTCCACTGAGTACTTTCAAGAAGCAGGATGAGCAATTGTAAAATTCATGAGAAATTTGAAGGCACTGAGAAACATAACAGTTCAGGAATAAATACACCATCATAGACACTGAGAGGGAATTTAACAATCTAGATTTCAAAGGAATCTTCCATTACATTTGCTGTTTCATTCTGAAAACTCCACAGATTCAAGCAGATTGGGATTGAAAGCATTCCTCAACAGAATTCTCTTTGATGGGACCCAGTGCGGTAGCCTAGTGGCTCAAGTCCTTACTTTGCATGTGCCAGGATCTCATACGGGTCCCATAGGGGCACTGGCTCGTGGACCAGCTGCTCCAGTTCCCTACTTGTGGCCTGCCACGGTGGTGGATAGCCCAAGGCCTTGGAACCCTGCACCTGTGAGGGAGACCCCAAGGAAGCTCCTGACTGCTGGTTCCAGCTGGGCTCAGCTCCAGCCTATGCAGCTGGAGGATCTTTCTGTTTCTCCTCTGTACATCTTACTTTTCAATAAAAAAATTTTTAAAAATCTTTAAAAAAAGTTGTCTTTGATGATGCGACATCAGACAACATAATGTAAATGAGAGGAGTTGGATGGGAAATTTCTGAAGGAGGCCTTCTCTTTTCTTTTTTTAATGTAAAATTTTATTTTAACTTTGACAATCTTTACATAGTTAATTAGGGTAAGAAGGCTCAAGGGCTACAGGAAAGTGGATAATACTAGTATGTTTTCCATATTGTTTCCTTCATGTTTAAAGGGGGGTATTAAGGGAGAAGGCCCACCCAATTTCCCACCCTCCCCAGGTCCCGGATGTAGGGCATGCTCTGAGGTTCTTGCTCAGGTGGTTTTGATATTGCAACAGTTATGAATTGCTGTCAATCTTGCCGCTGAGGCCTTCTCTTTTGCTAGGATTGTTCCCATAAGAATGCCTAGAGGATGAATGGCAGAAACGAATCCAGTTGCCTGTAAGTACACATTTGCTATACACTCAAGTAACCTAGAGGAATAACTAGGTTTTTAAAAAAATTTATTTATTATTTGAAAGATTACAGAGAGAAGGAGAGACAGAAAGATTTTCCATCTGCTGGTTTACTCCCCAAGTGACCGCAAAGGGCAGAGCTGAGCCGATCAGAACCCAGGAGCTTCTTTCATGTCTCCCACATGGGTGTGGATTCCCAAGGCCTTGGGCTGTCCTCTACTGCTTTCCCAGGCTACCAGGCAGGGAGGTGGAGCAGCAGGATATGAACTGGGCCCATATAGGATCCCGATGTGTGCAAGGTGAGGACTTTAGCTACTAGCTTACCATTCTGGCCTCAGGAATAACTAGTTTTGATGAAAGTTTCTAAGTCAATTGGAAGTGGACTAGGATAGGTTTTATACAGTTACCTTGTAGTGTAACAATAAAACTGCCATGCTTCCAGAATCTGGAGACAGACTTTGCCCCTCACTGTAGTGTTTAGCTTTTGGTCAGAAATCTTTCCTGCTATTGACAGGTACTCAGTCCTGGCTAGGCGTATTCCGAGTTCTTATCTGTGTGCAAGAAAAGAATTGAAGGTATACAGAAGAGCAAGACTTATTGAAAGGATTTTACACACTCAGATGTGCGTGTGGGCATCCTCTCAGGAGGAGGGAAGGGATACTGTACCCACCAAAGTTGGTCTTGTTGTTTTATAGTGGGGGGTAGTGCATGCTTCAGTGCCAAATTGAACATTCAAAGGAGGAGGAGTTTGGGTGGGGCTTGAGAACTGCGTTTTTCTGGCGCTTTTTGTGGGATCTCTGAAGTGTTAGGGCTTCTCTGCTTAGCACTGCAGCACATGTGGTCCTCTCTAGGGGTGTCATGGCATCAGATGCAGGGTGGGGGACAGGTGTGTCGAACCTGTGGTTGTGCTGGATATTTCCAGCCAGTGCACATTAGAAGGGGCTCATATGGCTGGCACACGTCAGCTTGCTTACCGTAACTTACCTGTCCACATCATTCTAGCTAAGTAAAACCTTCAGCTGTGGTTTAAACCTATCTGCACTCAGCAGAGCTAAATGCAAATACAGGGAACCCTTTGGAAGCTCCATGGCAATCAGGTATGATTTCTTAGAGTTGTCTACTGTGTCATTGCAAACAGTCTCTGCTGTGTTTTGTAAAGCCTTATTGTCTTTCATTGTATTCATATATACAAAAGTGTTGGAACATTGCCATATACTAAGAAGAGTGACTAAACAGGTGAGCCTTATCAGGGAATGAAATTGATTAACAACAGGCTAGTGTGTGCAAATTTGGCCAATTTAATTGAAAGTTGAGTAGCAGTGACGTAAGTGTCAAGCAGGATGTCTGCACAGAAGTTGAAATGTTCTAAAACGGTTTTTTCTCAACCATTTTTATCTTCTACACATCCCCATATCCACGTTTCTCAAACATTGTTAAACCTACAGATTACCTGGGGATCTTGTTACACTGCAGATTCTGGTATTCAGCAGGTGGTTTTGGGCCAGAGGTTTTGAACAGGCCCAAGTAACGCTCATGCTTCTAGCGCAGCCACCACTCTTAGAATAACAAAGCTTTGTCTACGGCCATACCACCCTGAACGCGCCCGGTCTCGTCTGATCTCAGAAGCTAAGCAGGGTTGGGCCTGGTTAGTACTTGGATGGGAGAATAACAAAGCTCTGCACGTCAGTTCCATAAACAACATCTTAAAGATGGCAGTCCTTGCAGGAACTTGTTTCATGTACTGCTTTTATTTTTTATCTATTTGAAAGGCAGAGAGACAAAGGGGGATATTTGATATTCTATCCACTGACTCACTCTTCAGATGCCCCCAGCAGCTGGAGCTGGGCCAGGCCAAAAAGTGGAGCTGGATTGAAATCCAGGTTCTCCCCATGGGTGACAGAGCGTCAGGTACTTGAGCCATCATCATTTGCTGCCTCCCAGTTTGCACATTAACAGCTGGATCAGAAGCAGAGGTGCGACTCCATCTCAATCTTACAGAATGAGTGTGTCCCATGCGCTGTCCTAACTGCCGCCTACAAACCCACTCCACTTAGTTTTGCCATAGGCTCCAAGTTTCCTTGTGGCAAAGACAAGATGAAGTGGGTGGCAGTGACCTACTTTCCTTGACTGACTTTTGGAGCATGAGGGGTTTAAATGATCTGGCCCAGGAGGCGTTTCTGTCACATGTATATGTGAGGGTGAATCTTGGCCTTTCCAGGGCACAGCAGTTTAATGAATGCTTTTCTGAAACTCATGTGGCACAGTGGGTACAGGACAGGGTTGATAGCCGAGTTCAGCCAAAGGAGCCAGAAGGATGTTTCATAGAGCGAGTGCCGGATGCACGTCCCATGGCAGGCAGCTCGGATGATCATGAGCAAAGTGTAGGGAGCCCAGCACAGGCCAAACACACACACGATGATGGCCAGTGACTTAGCCACTCGCCTGTCTCGGGAGAGCCGCAGGCGGCTGGCAACGGTGCTGGCGAGGTCCAGCTGACCTGGGACACTGCAGACCCGCTCCCTGGCCCTGTAGTGGTTCTGCTGTGGCCATGTTGTTTTCATTCTGCCATCCACCTGCAGAGGGGGTAAATCCCGAGCCCCAGGAACGTCCAAGGAAAGACTCTGGTGCCTGAGGGAGGTGTCTGGATCTTTTCTCTTCCTGCTCTTCCTCTCTGCTGACTTAAAAAACATGATGTGCTTCTTTTGTTTCCCCTTCAAGTCCATCTCCAAGCCGTCTTGGCTGGGAGCGCTGTTGTCCTTCTTCAAGGAGGCACGCTTCCGAATGCTGGCATAGATACTCAAGCTGAAGTAGGTGACGCTGATGAAGGGAGTGAAGAATTCAATGGTGGAGGCTGTCATCAGGAAATACCAGTTGTAGAAGAATTCAGCATAGCACTGTCCCTGGGGCAGGATGCTTTTATTGGCCATGTACTCCCAGCTGATGATGGCGGGACCGTAGAGGAGGAATGCTGCCACCCACACCAGTGCCATCTTCACGATGGCATTCCTGGTCATGTCCTTCTGGGCCCTGTAAGTCACCTAGAGGGAAGGAGTAGGGCCCACTGAAAGGGAAGGTGCAGGCAGCTCAGGAAGGTGCCAACAATGAGGCTAAACATCAGTTGTTAGTTTGGGTGGCATTTGGGGGGGATGGGTGGGATTTTTGGTCCTGATGCAGCGGGGATTTTTGGACCTGGTGCAGAACTCTCGACTCTCCACATGGTCAACTCACAGCATGTGGATGTGGTCGTTTGACTAACTCTTCATGCCCGCATTGCACGCAGGGCCTCTAATTCAGAACAATGAAAATCTATCCATCATGGGAGGGTCTCGGGGGATGGAACCCATGCCATGGAGTCTCTGGGCTCCTGGAAAGTTAGAAAACTCCACTTATGCAACACTGATATTTAGGAGCGGATTCTCACAGTGGGAATATAAGAAGCAGTAATGGCGATGGGAGACAAGGAAGATCTGGGCTTCAGCAACAATGGAAACGTGATTTTCATTCTCAGCTGTACCTTACAACCACTTGAAGGCATTTTTCTAAAAATGCCAATATCTTGGCCGCACTCCAAGCCAATTAAAATGAGTTGAGAACTGCAGCTATAAGTGAAGCAAACGTGTGGGTGCTGCAGAGTGGACTTGGCAGTGGCTCCGAAAATGGTGTTTCTCATAACATGGTCTGGTAGCTATTAAGAAGTCAAAGCTGGCTAGCATTTACTTTTCCTGTGGTGAGGATGGATTACTTATAGAGAGAAAGGTTTGTTTTTTTGAAAATCCAGAGGACTTCCTCTATTTTATTTACCACTCATGTCCAGCTTCTGATTAATGTCTTTGAGCCTTATCATCCCCATCTGTAGAGTGGACCTAAAGCTGCCTTAGTTTCTACCTGTCTTACATAGAGACGAAGACCACAGGACTCTGCCGTGCCAGAGATTGGTTCCAAAGGATTTAAAGCCCTGGCGTTCCGATGGGAAAACAGAGGTGCCAGCATGTGCCTAAGGTCCCCCAAGGTGTAAATGGCTAAATTAAGAAGGGTACCAAGGTCTAGGGACGCCCCTCCGAGGTCAGCCGGAATAAACAAGCGATGTGCAGACTGCTCAAGCAGACTCTGTTATCCCATGCAGAGCCGGGAGAGGGGTCATGAACTCCTGGGCCGCGGGAGAGCCCTCGAGCCAGTCCTGGTCACAACTATGGCCACAGCACTGATGTGCCACCACGCGCGGCCCTGAGGACGCCTCCCGAGAATGGCACATTATGAGGCTTTTACATTTCTGTATGTATTTAATACTTACAACGTAGCTTGTGTTTCAGAGACACCTGAGACCCCACGCGGGAGCGCTATGGGGCTGATACTTTTCACAGCAAAGGCCACCTGCCTGCCCATCCCCGGTCCTAGAGGAGTCCAGACCCTACTTACCGCCTTGGTGACGGACAGGAACCTGTCATAGCTGATGAGGACGATGTTGAAGACCGAGGCGGTGCACACAAGGTAATCCGTCACCAGCCACACTTTACACAGCGTCTTCCCCAACTTCCACTTCCCGGTCAGGACATAGGGGATGTACAGTGGGATGCAGACGCCTCCTGCGGGCACAAAGGGGCGCTGGGATCTCATCCCTCTGCCGCAGGGTCCCCGCGCTCCCAGCGCCCCGCAGCGCTCCAGCTCCCAGACTGCCGGGCTCCCCAACTCTGGACCTGCACTCACCCACCAGCAGATCGGCCACTGCCAAGTTGAGGAAGAAGAAGTTGCCACGGGAGCGCAGGCTGCGGTCCACGGCGAAGGCCACCACGACTAGCGCGTTGCCCAGCACCGTGGCCAGCGCCAGCAGAGCCATGAGTGCCGCCAGCAGCGCGGCCTCGGGTACCGAGAAGTGGCCAGCGTGCGGCCCGGAGTGCAGCACTCGCCCGGGCTCCAGCTCTGGCTCCGACCCGGGTCCCACTGCCGAGGAGCACGCGTTGCCAGACACGTTGGACTCCATGCCGCAGCGAGGGCTAGCCGGACGCGGCGGGGCTGACCAGGCGACTTTTGCGTCCGGAAGCGGTGCAGGGCAGCGCGCGAGGCGAGTGCGGGCAGCCGGAGCCGGTGGCGCGCGGGCTTGCGGACCGGGGTGAGGGGGCGGCGGGCGCGGGCTGCACCTTGGGCGCTCCTTTGAGGCAGGAGGGAAGCAGGTACCGCGGCCAGCAGCACCCGGCCTGGATTCCCCGCAGCAAGTTGCTATTCTGTCCAACAGTTTTCTGTATTATTTCAATCCTAACAGCAATACCCGCCCTTGTAAAAAGACAGCAAACACTACCGGACGGCACAAGAACACCCACTTGGAACACTAATAGGGTTAAGTCCTTTCAGCTGCTGGCCCTATCCCATCCCAGCCTTACCCCCACCCCCGCTCTTTTCCCCTTACCCTCTCCGCCTCCACACATCTAGACAAACAGGGAGGGGATGGGGCAGGAAAAAGCATAGATTTTAAAAAACAAAAGCAAAAACGGGGAGCCTGTTTGTCCTCTTCCAGAAATAACAGATCCTGACTTGGTGGCCGGACCCCTAGGGGGCAGAGAGGAGGGGTTGCCTGCCACGCCTCTCCAGCTCCCTCCCCACGGTGGGAATGAGCCTCTGTCCTCTCTCTCTGCTTCTAAGCTGTGTTTGGTTCTGCTCTGTTTTGACTCACTGGCCCCATGATTTCCTCGGAAGAAGTTAATGGAAGCAAAAAGTTACTATTTTGCTAAATTGTCTTTGCAAAGGAACTGCTGAGCAACTGAATGAGCCCTAGCCACTTTAAACACGTTCCTGGTGAGTAGTAGTTGGTGAGGGATGGTCTATTGTTTTGGATCCCTGGCCTGCTCCAGCCCCTCTGCTTGTCTAGGGCTTTCCTGTGGGGGCCTGGCTCAGAGTCCAGGTGTCAGGGCTGGTGAAGTCAGGGGTGGGAATGCACCTTTGCCCCCAGAGGGACTAAGGGGTTCCTGGTGTCTGGGATGGATGCCTTGGGTGGCAGAATCTGCTTGTCCTGTCCTCCCTGAGCCATGGGATGGGAAGAGGGACTATTTCAGAAGTGACCCAGACTTGGCACTTGCTTTATGTGTCCCCTTATTTGCCTGTAGCTGACTTAGTTCTAGCCATGGGAACAGCCATCTGATGCCATGCACAAAAATTCTCAGATCATCGGGCGGGAACGACCACTGGGCAGGAACAGGTCCTTGAGGATCACTTAGTGCAGTGACTGTCAAATCTTTTGAAACCACAACTCACAGCAAGAAATACTTATTAACTGTGGCCCAGCGCATGCTCACACACACACACACACACACATACACACACGCACACACACACACACACACTCACACTCAGTGAAGAAACAACAACAAACACAATAACAAGTGCAGCTGGCAGTATGCACTTGGATGCTTAGGGTTCTGTTCTATGTGGGCAATGGTCCTCAACTGGCTGGTAACCCTCATTTGAGAAACGATACCCTAGAAGGTTTCCTTCATTTGTTATGTGAGGGCACAGGCCAGGAGGGGAACAGAGTCACCCAGCAGAGTACAGGCAGGGAGCAGCCCCACCTGGGATCGTCTGGCTGTGCGCTCCTCAGCTCTGGACTGGTACTGACATGGCCTGTCAAGGAGATGACTGTCCCTTACATGGGCGCAATGATGCTTTCAGGGCTAGAACAACTGTGATGATTGAGGAAGGAAGAAATAAGCCAGCACTTATCTCCCTTCTTGTCTGCTAATTGCCTCTTCATTCTGCCAGAAAGACCCCTTTGCTTTGGTGCCACAGCTAATTGCTGCTAATTAGTAGCAATCACTACACCCCCTACTTGGGAGATGCTGGGTCCACGTGAGAGGAGCAGAGAGTGCCATGCTGGCCAGCCCACCAAGAAAGGTGGTGGTAGATCAGGTGGAGGACAGAGTTAGTGCTGCCTGGATGGAGGGAGATGGGACGACACACTCTTGCAAGAGTAACATCTCCCTTAGTATGAGCTACTGAGTGTCTAGTGGACCATTTCAAGGAACAAACTCCTACTTAACACTAGCTCAGTTACATTCCTCCCAAATTCCTATGTAAGTCCTGATTCCCAGTATGGACTCAGGGTTGTTAAGATGGTATTTATTTGTTTATTTATTTGTTTATTTATTTATTTTGGTTTTTCTCTCTGTTTTATTTTTTTTTAATTTTTTAAATTTTGACAATCTTTACATAGTTAATTAGGCTAAGAAGGTTCAAGAGCTACAGGAAAGTGGATAAGACTAATATATTTTCCATATTGTTTCCTTCATGTTTAAAGGGGGGTATTAAGGGAGAAGGCCCACCCAATTTCCCACCCTCCCCAGGTCCCGGATGTAGGGCATGCTCTGAGGTTCTTGCTCAAGTCGTTTTGATATTGCCACAATTATGAATCGCTGCCAATCTTGCCACTCCAAGCACTATGAGGTCTTTGAAAAATCCACTGATTGACATAGTCTATCATAGCTGAGATGGTTGGTTGACCCGTTCTGTCTTCTCTCTTTTCTTCGTTAGGGTTCTGAGTCCAGCATTTAGATTAGGAAGATCTCCAAAGAAACTTCTTGTATGCACCAGCAAGTACAGGGCCTGGCACAGTCCATTGCCCTGATCAACTGGTGGTTGTAATTGCTGGGTTGGTTCTGTTTTCACTCCCGACTTCCACTGGAACCAATGGGTGTTGCAGTCCAGCCTGCTTCTGCCCAACACATACTTGGCCCTCACATAGACCAGTGGGAGCTGCAGCCTAGTTGGAGCGACCCACAATAACCCCCACCAGGCCCGCCCCCTACCCTGGTTTGCCAGTATGTGTAGCAGTAATCCAGTCTGTCCCACACCCCATTCCATCCCAGCCTCTATCTTAGTTTTATGTCCTCCCGTGGAAGTGGTAACCCAAGAGGGATGAACCCACTATTTCCCTTCCAGGCCTCTCCCACTCCCAGATTCCAGCTGATGCTATAGCCAAGCCCAAACAACCCTCGCCCACTTTAATTTTGTTTGCACCAGTAGGAATAATCAGCCCAGCCTGGCTTTTCCCTAATCTAGTCCACATGAGGCGCACAGGTGTGGTAGCTCTGCCTAGTCTGGTCTGCCCCCATCCCAACTCACGCTCTCCAGCGGGAGTACTGTCCAGCAAAGGAACCCTCCCTTATTCCCCTGCCAACTCTGCCCCCTTCCTTCCTTGTTCTCACTCTGGTTGGGTGCTGTGGTCCCTTCCTCACCTTGGCATTCCGTATTGTGCACTAGCCTTTGTTGTGACCCAACCTGGCTCGACCCACACTGGTGCCTGGATTTGCCAGTGGATGACGTGGACAGATTCAGCCTGGTCTTCCCCCAACGCCTGCCAATTGTATACCAGTGGGTAACTTTCCATGGCCTGTTCTGGGCTGTTTCCTATCATATTTCTTGCACTTACCTACCTGCCGGGTCTGTGTCCTGCCAGAGGAGTTGCCCAGGCTCCTCCATCAGAACCTCTCCCAATGCCAGGTTTCACGCTTACCAGTGGGTCCATGAGCCAGCCCTACTCAGTCCACCTCCTGTCATAGCAGGAACTGTGGCTTTTCCTGACTGGCCTTCAACCCAAGATGGTATTTATTAAAATATTATTTTTATGGGAAAGACACAGAGAGACAGGAGAAATGGAGAGAGGATCTTCCATCTGCAATAGATAGCTACAATGGCCAGAGCTGAGCCCATCCAAAGCAAGGGGCCAGGCGCTTCATCTGGGTCTCCTATATGGGTGCAGGGTCCCAGGGCTTTTGACCATCCTCCACTGTTTTCCCAGACCATAAGCAGGGAGTTGGGTGGGAAGTAGAGCAGGGCATGAACTGGCAACCATGTGGGATGCCAGGTCTTGCTGGCATTGTGCTCGTTCCTAAGGTGGTATTTAAATGGGGTAAAAAGTCTGGGACCAGGACTGTGTTGCGGTGCAGTGGGTTAAACTGTTTCATCCACTGGACTGCTAAAACAGAATATTACAGTCACCAGTGACAGTCACAACAGCCAGCTGGACTGACATACCTTACTGGAGTGTGACCCCAAAGCGCACAGTCACAGGGTTTTTATAGGAGCTGTTTACAACAGCTCCAAAGGGGCAATTTACAATAGCTTGTAAAGGAGGGGAGGAAAGGCCACACGTTCCCTGCCTGTCTCGGCTGGGCAGCCCCTGCCTGGCTCTTGCTGGTCCAGTAATTATGGTAACTGGACTCCAGCCTAGAGGCCACCTGTGAGATAACCAGACTCTGGCCTTGGCGTCATCTTTGAGTTGATTAGGCTGGGGCCTTGATTCATGCGGATCCAGGGCTGTTGGCACTAAGGGTCACAGAGGCCGGTAGGCCTGCAGGCTCACACAGTTTCTTTCTTTCTTTTCTTTTTTATTATATATATATTTTAATTACATTGTATTATGTGACACAGTTCTATATAGGCACTGGGATTCCCCCCACCCCTCTCCCATCCCTCCCCCCATAGTGTGTGTCCGCCCCCCCCCGCCCCCCATTGCACAACCACAGTTCAGGTTTAGTTGAGATTCCTTCATACACCAAGCATAGAGTCCAGCATCTCATTGTCCAGTCAAGTTCAGCGGCTTCTTGGGGAGACCCTCCCAGGTCTGAAGGCAGAGCCAACAGAGTAGAATTCCAGTCAATTAAAAGCCCCAACATAACATCAGCAACAATATATAACGTTAAGGGATAAATTGACAAAGTATTGAGCAACCAATTTGTCAAAATTGGATGCATGGTCTTAACAACTTTCTGTGACTATTTCAATGACAGTTCAACAATTGAAGTGCGAAACAGTTTTAGGAGGGGTGTGCAGAGAAATCTTCCATACCTTGGTGAGGAGTACTTAATCCCCGTGTCCTACCTAATCAGGTGTCACACAGTTTCTTAGCCAGGCAAGCAAAGCAGAAGTTACCAAAGTGAAAAGTAATGTAGTAGGCAATGAGCCATGTTTACTCCATGCTGATTTCAACTCTAC